TGTGTAAATATAACTCCTTAATAATTATCTAGATAAGATCACACGCATATTTCTCATCTAGATTTTTATTTTTAGAAATTGCACGATTTGTAAATGTTTTTTTTTCTACAATAAGCACAAGTGACGGATGTTTATAAGGCAATATAGAATTTAATTTAATTTAACTAATTAATTAATTAGACCATTTTTTCAGATAAGGCACGACACTGATTAAAAGACACTGAATTTTATCATTTTTACAAACTGAACTTAAACTAGTTAAAAGCTACTAATTTCCTTTAAAATTTTACTTGACAAGTTATTTTTACAATGATATTGTTAGTATTGATAATGACAAATATTTATTAAAACAAAAATTGATTATTTGGGTAAAAATAAATTGTAGAATAAACTACTAAATGCCAACTTAGTTATTTAAGTAATATTTTTTCAGATAACTTTTGACAAAACTTAAGTACTTTTTTTATCATTTTAACAAAATAACTTTTAACCGAACTCAAACCAGTTTACCAAAAACCACTTTGTAACGTTCAAAGCCTTATTAATCAAAGCCTTACTTAAGGCATAATAACTTTGTTAAATTATTTTTTAATCGTCAATACCTTATTATGTAACATTTAGATAAAGTCTTGATCTAATTTTGTACGTTCTCTTAAAATGGTCAGTCCTTTAGAAAAACATGTTTTAAAAATTGTCGTTTTAAAATTTTACAATTAATTTTTAAGTTTAAATATGGTTTTTTAGTAGTTATTTTATAGTTATTTTCTTGTCCTAGAGTTTATTATGTAGGAATACTAGTCATTTTAGCATTCACCCATTTACCTAAGTTATTTTCTATTTTCAAAAATTTGTGAATAAATAGACAGCATAAAGCTTTAAGCTTTGGAAGCTTGTCTTTTGCTCGTTAAAGAATACAATTTAATGATTCTTAAACGTCAAAAACAAATTGTATTATTATAAGAACATTTCTTAAAATTTGAAAAATACAAAAAGAGTTAGAAATTATTCTAAGCAATTTGGAAACTCTCTAGTCTTCAATAAACCTATACAGCAAAATCAAATGATTATTTTTGCTTACTCGATAAGCAATAATTGACAAACAAATTTATTAACAAAGAATTCTTATTACTGCAATAACAAAAGTTTTTTAATTGAGTCTATTTGAAAAATGCTTATATTTTAATACTTCTTTAAAAATAGAACTTTAGCGTCAAAGCTGAAACTAACATACATTTTTTTTTCTGGTTATAAAAAGTAATTTAGGTAGGTCTAGTATTTTTTTTTTTTTTTTTGGAAAATTATTTCTATTTATTTACAATTTTGGATGTACTTTTTTGTAGTTTTTTACTCATTGTCATCGTTTTCCGTTCCACCTACACAAGAACATAATGTGCACCATTAATGTTTATGACTTTGATATGGTAAAGTATGGATTGCTTCCATGGCTTTTAATAAATGCCTCATATGTGGCGTATGCGAGAACAATCGAGAACGTTTAACCTGATTATTAATGTTCTAGAACCATTGTTAATGAAAAGTTAACGTTTTTAATTGTTAAAAAAAAATAAAAAGGTTTAATTAATCAAAATAGTAGATACAATATTATTTTTTCTCCCACAATCACCGCTTGATTCAATTATAAGTCGGACTGTGCAAACATAAATAGTATACTTTCTTTTTCAATATGTGCATAATACGTTTTAATGGTATACAATTTGTTTTTTATAATCTTAATTGAGTTAACGGCAACATAATAATATATTAGTATTATTATAACCAGTACGTATTACAGCTTAATAGTATGTGTGTGCGTTCCACTTGTTCGCTAAATATGTTATTCCTTTCTTTTCCCTTCTGTTTATCGTTAAACAGCCACAAGTAGAGTCCGCTCATATACTCGTATGGGATAATAACTTGTTTTTTTTTTTATGTCGATTTCCAAGTCATAACAATGTTATTTCGCATACTCAATTACACGGTTTGTATTAACCCTTCGTGACCCGCGCAAGTAATGGCGTTTATAGTTCAGCATTTTTTTTTAATAGAACGGTACAAAATTATTTTCTAAAAAAAAAATAAACGGTTTTAGGTTCTTCATGTTTTTTATATACTTAATCAACATATTTTTGCAAACAACATTGTTTTAAAACATTTAATCGCCTGGCAAAACGCCATATACAATTAATATATCTAAAACATAATTATATTTTTTTTTTTGCTGCACGTAACTTGTGCATTCGACCATACTTGCAAAATGTTGCATTCCAATTCACTAGACATCAGGGAATTATTTTCAAAACGCCGAACAAAAATAATATTATACTATTTTATTAATTATAATAAAATATCAATTGGTATTTGACCATCACACACACAAGAAATAATTATCGCACACTCTTAACAAGTATACGTTTTTTTCTTTTGTGGTCAAGTCGTATGTGAATTACGGTTTTTATTTTATTTTATAATATGTGTGCACGTGATGAGAATTTCGAAAGTACCCAAAGTAAATCGACTACACTCATTACACTTGTTCGTCCATTGTGTACGGGTAGTCTGAAAGTTAATTGTCCACTAGGTCTTGACGTCGTCCTTGACCTTATCGGCATTTTCCCTTATAATTACCTCCTCCGCGATGGCTCCGTCCAATCAAAAAAATTATCATTTATTTAATTGCGTTCATATTGTATTGTAGGCATTGTGTATATATGCACCGGGTATGTAACATATAAGTCCGTTACACTCATGATGTACACACACAAAGCCCATAAAGACGAGTCACGAATGATAATATCATTATGTATACATAGAAATTCCAACGTACTTACATATTATACAGCCAACCCCTACCGCGGTAATAATTGTAATTTTACTTATAATATAATACTATGATCTTCGTGAATAAGCATGTGTACTTACTTCTTCGGCCGGCTCATCACTATCTTTCTGTTGCTCTGGCCTGGTTTACGGGCAACACGACCGAATTAGGGTCGTCTAGCTGTACTCGAACACGAGGGTTAGGTACCCCCCCCCCTTGCCCCTAAGTATCATACGGACGTCTCGTGACTACAGTGTAATATAGCAGCGGTCTACAGACTAATGGAACGTTTATTGGGACCTATTAAAATAACAGTTTTTTAACTAAAAAAACCTTTAAAAAAAGGCCAACTATTTTGTGGAAGTTTTTTACTTGGAAACTATGTAATTTGAGTGAAGAAGTCATATATATATGTATATGTGTGTAGAAATCTTAAATAGGCTGAGCGAGTTTAGGTAACATAACGCAACGAGGGCGATTCGTTATGGATAAGACACATGTTTTTTAAAACGGTTGTAGTTTTGTAGTTTTACTTTTTGAAAACATTTTTGTTTATTTTAAGTAACTTTAAATGTATTTTTTTTATAGCCTTTATTCGAACTTTAAATATAACTATCCAAAACAACTCATTCTAATTTTAGAACGATGTAGATTCTTCAATACTCGCTTAATGTATTAATCGAAGTAGGTTTTAGTGTTGTTTTAAAAATTATTAAAAACTGCAATTTTAAATTGCTAATCAATTAGAAATAATAATTTTAAAATTGTGCCACGATCTTTACTTTGTAAATGTCATGAAGAATGCAAATGTTTTTTGAAAACTCAATTTTTTCAGAACATACTGTTCGAAGAACAAGCGTATGTTTTTGTACAAAAATAGTAGCTTGTTTGCGTTATAGAAGTTAAAAAAAAAATTACAATTAAGTAACAAAATAGATCCCTCTTTCCTGAGTCCAACTTCCTGTATTAACTGAAAAAAAAAATCGTTTCTTAGCTCAAGTTGTTCTTGTTAGCTTAGGTGTTTCAATCAGATTTCCTCTGAGCGAAACGGCCGCCGCCACTACTAGGTGGGCTTTCTCTTTCATCGGACCGCCCGAAATAGAATCCGAAAAACAATATTATACTTATACGTATAACTTAAGTAGGTAATAGGGAATGACAATAATAACACTCGTGAGCCGTATGGAAGTAAAACAAAAAACAAAAAATTACTCCATCACGGTCATTACCGAGGCGGCGGCGGCGGTAAGGAAGTGCTCGGTACCGCTATGCTAGTTACCGCATGCTGGTTGGATCGCTTGAAATAGATTTTAAATCTTACAACGTTATAATTAGATCAACAGGTTTTTTTTTTTTCTTCAAAACTTTCATAAAGACAGGACGGGTGCCGTCGACGCGCTGTCACCGCCCTTCCCCCCCCCCTCGGGGGCAAGACGAAATTGGGACAAAAAAGAAAATTATAAATGGGCTTTGCGTAACCGTTATACTTGTGACGTTGGCTAAGTCCACATGTGTGTAAAAAACACTAGAACACTGCTGATTATACATTTGTATAGATTGTAAATAAAGAAAATTGTTTAATAAAAAAAAAAAAAAAAAAAGAGTTATATTTGGGCGAATATTCCAAAAAATGTTTATCAACGTTGTTATGACTATTGAAAAGTCCACATAAAGTAGGTTTTACAGTCATAAAATAGGTGTTTTTTTTTTTTTTTCAAACCCATTCGATTTATTTGAACATTTAAACGAGGAGTACAAGGAAAGTTGCTTTTTCGACGAGATTCCTCGAGGTTTCAACACGACATAACCCAATGAAAAGTGATTGTCCTCAGCACAACTCTGAGCCACTCGTTTTTTCAGCAGCGTACGACGAGTGACTTGTGTAAACGGTTGACGTTGAATTTTACATAATACCTACGCCTAAACCTAAAAAATGAGAGTGCTTAAAATGTGTTTTCTTGCGCTTGTGATCGATGAACAATTAAGTCAACGTCGTCAACTTTATTACCACCGCTGCAACACGACCATAATTATTGTGATTGGTCAATCGTCCACGCTTTTTTCCTGAATAAATTCCCTAGAGCGAACCAACAGACCTAACCAACATTTTTCTAGTAGCTTACAAAAAAAAAAAAAAAAAAAAATACCTGCATTAATGTGTTGTTTTTTTTTTAAATTTTAGGCAGTTTGTTCAGTGGCAGTTTCTGGGACCGTTACGACGAATACCTGGACGTTCACCGACACGCCAAAGAGTGAGTACCTAGACTTTTTCTTATAAATTATTTTTCACTCTGCTGCTTATTTCAAACCAACACGGGTGTGTGGTGAAGGTATTGATTATATTATGATAGAGTACCCGGTGCTACTACATGTATAACTAGAAGCCCAACTTTTGATTTTGTTTTCTTGGACGTTTGGACTGTATTCTATACCTAATGTTGTTTGCCTGTGCAAATTCTGTACATGGAATTTAGCCTGTTTTTCGTCGAACTTAAACAAACTCGTCGAGTTTCTAATGTTACGTAACAAGACCGTGCATATGTGTTTCCCAATTATTTTTTATACAAGTGAGTATATATCGACCTACGACAATGTCGTTGTTTATAACATTATAGTTGAACGATTTCCACCGATAGGCACTTATAATATTGTGTTAGTTTTACCGTCAACCGGTATCAACATTGTGTGGGCACGCGGTCGCTTATTAATGTTCATATATTTTGGTATAGGTAGGCCTTAAAAAAAAAATACATACCTAATATAGTTTTACAACAATATTGTCGTTTCGAATTTAACCAACAACATATTTTTTAAAAGCGAGGCCAGTAATAAGTCGTACCGAAATTATTGTACTATTAACTACTACTTGTATTCGACCACCCGAGAAAAATATTCTAATAGTTAATCGACATCTGACTATAAAAATATTCACATGTGAAACGATAGGTTTAACTTCTCGTTTAAGGGAATTGCATGCGATCTGTTTTTAAGGAGTTTTGTATAGGCAATATTTAAGAAAAAAAGGTTTTACTAAATGTCGACCAAATCAATTAATTTACAGGTTAATAAGCTTCGGGGTATTATTTTGAATTCAAATATTTTTTTCTATGAGTAAAAGCCATTCTGGTTTTAGACCGAAAACCCAGACAAAATTTCGACTACATTGGATGGTCCAATTTTAACTCTGTAAAGAGATTCGAGTTCTCTGGCTACTTTACTATGTTATGTAGAAAGCGGATTTTCATTTAAAAATTTCAATTTCTTGTAATTAAACGAATTAAATTTGCAATTTTTCAAAATTAAAACCCAATTTTTTTTACAGCCAAAAAGCAAAATGGGATATTTTTTAAATGGTCAATTTTCCGGTAGTGTTTCTTCTGGTTCCATACATTTTTCGGGGTTTTTTTTCTAGTGAATCAATTTTGCTGAGATTATTTTTCGGTGATTAATTTCTGGGTTATTTTTTTTTACAAAAATCATTGTCATTTAGCTATTATCTATTCCAAGCTCTTCTCAGCCTGTATCACCATAGCGACCTTCAGCGGGGAATTTTTCAAGCAATGCATATTACATAGACACATTTTTACAGATTTGTTTTGAATATTGTAATAATACTTTACCTATTCTTTGTATATCACTGCTGGGTAATCGCATAAGATGAAAATTAAAACAATGGGCCAGAACGGACGCCGCACAAGAGTCACATTCGTGCCCTGTACCTACCGTGGACGGGTTCGTTTTAACCTCGATTTTTTTTTTATACATATTACACTTGATGTGTCTACCGAACGCATAAATTCATATAATGTGTGTCTTAATGTATACTCACGGCTGTCGTCATTAACCTTTTTCTCGACCCCGGTTTACATACGAGCTCAATTAACCGTCGGCATTACCACGATACAATCATAAAGACACCGATCCGGATGCCCTGTTTGAGCTGTTTACGATTTTCAAACACCTTCGGTACTTGCAAAACAGTTGAGTGCGTTTTAAAAGCAATATTGTACAGCCACGGCACAATGTGCCCAGTCATAGTTCAACGGCTGTATTAAATTTTTACTCTCATCGAGTCCCTCCGGCGGGAATGGCATACTTGAATATATTTTATCGTTTCCGCATTTTTCAGTATAGGTTTTTCCGCCAATGAGGCCGGCGCCTCGCACTAAGTTCCGAATTTTTACAAAATTCCCTATTAAGATTAAGTACGGCTATCGATAAACATTGACTTAGCAACATGAAACAAAATAATAACCCTTTCAAATGAGCCGACTTCAAATTTAAACGAGTCTAAATGAACTGCAATACAATGTTATACAACCTCGACGATTATAGGTCTATGGTTGTCTATCTATCACTTTCTTCGGCTCATCCCACATCCCATTTCAAGCGAACAGCCCTGATTTTTCCTTTAAATAATCCACGTTTGTCATATATCTACCATACGACCATGTTTTTGCATTCTTTGAACAAAATGCAACTTGAGCTTGTTCCATCATAAATAAATGAATAAAGCCATGTGACTGTCATGGATGTATATTCTATTCAATTCACCAAACGTTTCTAGACACTCCGGAGGCCTAGGTAGGTAATTTTGAAAGTATTCAATTTTTTATTTAGTACCTACTCGAGTTTTGCAAGAGTTCCATATGGAAATCCAACGGTGTGTCCAAATATAGAGGTGCTCGCTTTTGGTATTATGTTACTATAACATCGGGTGGCTGCTGTCACCGCTCGCTGAGAATCCATTAATTATTAGCCTCGTTGAGTAATCTCGACCCTGGCCCTCTCTGGCACATGTAGATATAATAAAAAAAACTAATTTTTAATTTTTAATTTTGACACTGCTAGGCGTAACCTTTTATAATTAATCGACGGTATTCCAATAGTGCTTGTGTACACTCTTCTTGGATTTTTTTTCATCGGTTAATCCATCTCCAAAACGATTGGGAAATGTAACGCCGGTAGGAGCGCCTCTCTCTCTAATATTTTTTTTTTAATACTAGTTATCCAACAATATATAATTAAAACGTTTCCCGCCGGTAAGTACAACTGTGTGTAATAATTATGGTCGAAACCCTCAATATACGAGAGCCACTTTAACGACCGTCTGAACTGTGATCTATTATTTATTATTATTTTTACTCGGCGGCCTATCAAACGGATCTATTCAAACAAAAAATGTATATCATATCCGTTGAAAGACCCAAATAGTAATGTGAAGTGTATAATAAATAGTACTAAATGCCCATTATGGAATAAAATATCATTATGTATACTAACGTAAATAATAAATATAGATTATTTGCCAATAAAAATATATTATATTGTTTACAACAGCCGAAATCGGTCATTAATACAGCTGTCATTTATTTGTATTGTTGATCGTCCCAGTGTACCCACTCCCTTTGTACTGACCGCAGGAATACTTTCCAAATTTTTTTTCGGTCCTTATTTTTACATTCAGTTATTTACTATTTATTCAATGTCTACAAATTAACAATAATATAATAATAGATACGGTTCTAATCTATCCGAGCTGAAAAATGTATACAATTTTTTGAATCCTATTATCCTTTATTTTTTTTTTTTAATACAAAAGAAGTTTAGAAAGTATTAAAATTTATTATGTAAATTTACAATTTTAGAAGTAACTTTAAATATATACTAGGTTTTTACTTAACCCCTTAACTTGGCGAGGGCTAATTTTGAATTATAAAAAAAGGTAATACTACTTTTTAGGTTGGTCATAGAAAGTATTGTACACAAAAGTATGTATCTTTAAAAATAACCTAAGAATTAATTAATTACATTATTACATCAAAATGTTGTTTTTTATTTGAAAAAATACTCAAAATACAAATATGTTTTATAACCGTTGTACGCAAATTACAAAACAAAAATTAATTTTTTTTCAACATTTTCTTTAGTGTGTGAAAAAAATTCTAAAATTATCAATATTGATATTCCGTCTAGTTCTAAAGAAAAATACTTGTATAGTAATTTCTATGGTAATGTCCATCGATAACCTTGACAAAATCTCGACAAAAGAATTTCGAATGTGTATTATGCAGAGTACTTTGACCTGATTGTGAATTTTCCGGTGGAATTTACTTTTAGTATATTTTTAATTATAATATTAGCTACCGAGTTGGATGAAAATCATACTGCATTTACATTGGTGCGGTCAATGTAATGTACACGGTAGTGGTTTATACTTTATATTCTTTTTGTGTTTCTTGTTAAGTCAACTTATGAGGTCCTTAGAGCATTTTTTTTTTTTTACACGTGTCGCATAAATTATTTAAAAAAACAGCGTTTTATTACATTTTTTTTTTTTTTTGGTCGGTTTAACCATAAAGAAACGGCCATACCCTAAGATCGACACGATAAATCCTTACTTCTCGTGTTTGCAAAAATAAATTATTTTCACTGGACTTGGTTGGAGAGGTTGGAATCGCGTTTATAAAAAAAAGGTAGTAAACATACAAGTATCACGTTTTAGTCTTCTGGACACTAATTAATTCCATATAATACGCGTTATTTATTATTCAAATTAGATAAACATTCTTCGTTACTTGTTATAATATTTTTGTGGACGCTGAAAAAAATGATAAATTAATATTATAATATATTCGCGTAGTACATAACTTAAATTACATTTTTTTTTTTTTTAATAATATCAAAGAAATAAAGAATAATCATGTTAAGTAAATGGAATATTAATGTTAAACGTGTTAGGTTTTTTGCGACTGTTAAAACAGTTTTAACATTTTTTCAGGGCTGTCAAAAAAAAAAAACCTTTATAATTAAAATGGTCCAAGAAAAATAATACTTGATATTGGTGTGCTGCGAGAAAAAGTAACTTGACATGAAAACTCTATGATTGAAAAATTATTACTACAAATTTGGTGTAAACACAATTTACTAGCACTCCGTCTATGTGAACAAATCAGAATTGAGGTTAAATTAAAACAATTATCAACATTTGCTTGGATGTTGACAAGATAAAAATAAATGGATTATTTAAATAAAAAAATGTGTTATATTTTCTAACATGTTTGACTTAAAACGGTCATATCAAAATAACAATCCTGGATGCTAAGATACAATTTCAATTTTACACAAGTAGTATTTTTTAGGAATTTAATATTCTTTCCATAAAAGTTATACCGTGTACCTTTTTTGGGACTTTACCAAAAGTTGCTATAGTCTGCAGTTTTCGGTCTTAACTCGGATGAACTAAAACCAGATAGTGCACTTCCTATTAAAGCTTTGTAATCGCTGAAAATGTAAACAAACCAAACCCCCCCCCCCCAAGACAGAGTGTGACCGCTGGTAGGAAAAAACAATTCTTTATGAGAAATTATTGTTTCAGAACTGAGCATCATTGAATGTATTGTGATTGTTATCAACGATGTAATATTACCGATATTATTCGATAACATATTATAGTAAAAAATGGTCTGTGCAATAATTGCATTTCTACAATGTGGTCACACTGAGTTAAGGAGGGTTTCAATTAACTAATCTGTGATATTATGGTGGTGAATTTGTAAGCAATTTTTTTTTCTAATGAGAATACATTGTAGCCGTTAATGTGTAAGAGATAAAATTATACATTATAATATATATATATATATATATATATATATATATATACAACTGTGGCTTGGCGGTAAATTATTCGCAACGTCTTGCCACAGTGTTTGTGACATAACCTAACCGATTATGTGTACATTTATTTGGTTTTTTTTTTTATTCGTTTCATGTTTAAAAAAAAAAATCTTCAAGACGTTACATTCCGACGTTCGGTTGTTGTGCAAAACGATGCTCTGATAATAATAATAATATTATGTAGGTATTATAATATATTATAGTGTCTTCCATGCGAGGAGCGACCGAAGGTCAAACGTTTGTGTAAATTGTTAACCTCTGTTAATAATATTAATATGTAGGTATATGAACACAGAACACTAACCGGTGGTGGGTGGGCGTTGGCAGTATATTATGAATATTGCAAACAAAATTTGTTATGTGTGTGGTTTTTTAAATTAAATATATTAAAAAATATGTTTTACGCGTTCTCCGTTGCCACTCCGTTGATTTATATTCTAATCCAAACGACCACCGTATTTTTTTTTTTTCTTTGGTTAAGTAGGTTTTTTCTGTTTGAAAATTGAGTGTCGACTCTATGAATAATTGGCAAAACACAAAAATCCAATTATCATTTAAACCGTCTGGTGTTCGAGCCAAAACCGTTAGTACACAAATATTCTTGTAACTTCCAAAAAAAAAAAAATGTCTGTTTTGACGTGATAAAACCTGTTCGAAACGATTTGAAAATATGTATTTCATTAGATCGGATTGACCGATGAATTAAAATTTTTAAAAAAAAACAACGTAAAACCGATTGGTACGTTTCGATTGAACGCTATTTAGTAAAAATCCAACAGCAAGAAGATTGCCGACACGATTAGAAACCGAATGAGGGCTTATTTCAATTTAACATTATTGTCTAATTTACAAAACGTTACTTAACTCGGTGCATTTGCCCGCGAGCCGTGTTTATCGCCTCATCGTTAAGTACAACCGCATCTTTAACTGTTTTGATTTATGCAATCAAGTTGTGCAAAGCGGTTGTGCTTTGACCGTTTCTATAGTATTTCCCAACGAGTTTTGGGTCACGGTAACTGAGTAATCTTATGCTAATAATAACATCATAGATCCGGTGTGGCCAAGATGGTGCACTCCGTCATTTAAGGATAAACGAAACCCTCCTCAACTCAGTGTGACCACATTGTAGAAATGAAATTATTGCACAGACCATTTTTTTTACTATAATATGTTGTCGAATAATATTTATAATATTATTTCTGTGATGCTCAGTTCTAAAACAATTTCTCATAAAGAATTAAATAGGAAAAAATAATTATTTTTTCCTACCAGTGGTCACTCCGAGTTGAGGGAGGAATTGATTTGTTTACATTTTCAGCAATTACATTGTTTTAACAGACAGTGCACTATCGGGTTTTATCTTACCAGTGATAACATGACTGAATATGACAGTTTTTTAAGCACACCAAATTCTTAATAAAGAATGGCAAACTGGCACTGTGTAAAATGACTTGAGTTAAGGCCGAAAACTGCAAACTATAGCCACTTTTTGGTAAGGTCCCAAAAACGGCATCCGGGATTGTTATTTTGTTTTATAATGCTTCAGAAATTTAAAGAATTCAGTTCTGTCCAAAAGTAACAGCTCAATTATTATATAAACGACAAGAAAGACTTTTTTTTATTAGATTTTGTTAAAAAAAAATAAACATATCTCAACAATTACAGATAACGTTTAATTTCGATGAATTTTAACGGCCAAAATCATAGTTTGTTCTGCGGTAAAGATAAAAGCCTAACACTGATATTATGTTGACTTGATACATTTTTTTTTTGTAATGATTCTGTGTCGCTGAATCTTTTTGAAAATATATTTTATGCGAAGCTGTTTTTTTTTTTTTGCAAACAAATACTTTTGGGATAAAAACCACAAACCAGTTCGCAGTATAATTATATCGCGGTATGATTTGATGACTATGTGTTTTATTTTTAGAAAACATTTTTTTTCGCCAAGTTTTATAACCTATTTTTTTTACAGATATACTGTTGGACTAATTTTCAGGCTTTAAAAATTCCTCTAAAATTCTATCCGCTTCACAAAATTTCCTCTTCTTTGCAAACAAAAAGTCCTCGAAGAATCGTTATCGATTCTGTTAAGATAGAAATACATATATAACGATAAATGCACTGTAATCCGAAAAAAATGTACTTTAAAAATGTATTATTAGTATCAAAGGGATGCGCTCCTCACACTTAGCATCCTAGAGACTGGCTACGGTCAATGTGTAATTTCCATTTTTTTTTTATAATTTATATAATGTTATAGTTTTATCCTGGATCTACCTTCGGTTTAACTTTCAGACCTTAAGCCCTAAAACTGGCGCAGGGGTGAACTTTTTGAATTTGTGGCTCAGTAAAGTACATTTCAGGTATTAGGTATTTTGTGATCCATACAATATCGCTATACGAAAAAATAGGCCCAGGGACTTGGAAGATACACACCATTGTAGAAACAATACCATTTTAGCTTACAATAATAATTATTATCTGTTTCTCTTTCAGGTTGCTGCGAGAAAAGGCATCGCTGGACGAGGATTTCGTGGCGTTCTGCGTTCAGAGAAAAGGAGTTGCTAAACATTCCTTACGCGACATCCTCGATTTGCCGGTAAGTACTTGTTGTTTGTCTTACACAATGATCACCGAGGGGTTGGGGGGGGGGGGAGGCGAAACGCGTACTTACTCGCCTGTATACACTTTGGTCACTTAAAACTCAATACGTGTTGTTTTATTACTTTATATTTACACACACACACACACACACAACTTCCAATTTTGTGTTGTGCAACAACAAATGTATGTAAGTGTTTGCTATATATACGAGTATTTGTTTTCTTTCAAACTACCGTCGCCGACAAACACAAGTAGTTAACGCGAACCTTGCGACACGTCCTGGGACCTTGTCAATAAAGTTCTGGGAGCATTATATTATTATAAATATCTTAAGCAGCCATCGATTGCCGGCGACACTAGTCCACGTTGCAGTTGCCTCTGGCGACAGCGTCAGGCGGACGGCGTACGGCCGAGTTAGTGAATTTTTTTCTCTCATGACCCAACTAATCTCGGCGTTATTTTTTATAATACCTACCGACAAATGTTTGTGCGCGATAACATAGCTTCGGTGTGAATCAACGTGATTTCTAGACCACATACCTCTGTCCGTGTCTGTAATTGATCCGCTTGATCGCAGTTATTTTAAACGGATGATTTAATATATGCTAGTGGGTTTGCTGTTCGACACTTGACAGAACGATTCCTGGCCAAAACGATTCCTTCAAACGGTACACGAACGTTGGATTTGCAAACTATGGCCTGGGTCAAGAAGGGCTACTAATGTTGCTTTTGGCAAATGGGCTTTTGAACGTTTTCAATTTTCATTAGGCAAAATCCTCAGAGTATCATATTTGTGTGTCTGTGAAAGACCCGGGCTAAGACGGAGAAAAAGTCCAAGTCCAAGTGTCAATTTACTCGTTCGTTGACTTTTTTAAGTGGTCCAAAGTGATTGGAGACTGTCCTCCACTGGAAAGGAGCGTTAACGTTTGAGACTTTCAGGCGTGTATGTTGAGTTGTATGCATTGGCCGTTCAAGGCGTTCGCACGAACGTGACCGGTCGTTGATGCACAATGTATTAAGTTTTTCCACGCATGTTAAAAAAAAAAACCACCATCAGTACTTGAAAACACTTGTACAATATAATATTTTGGATACCGATTCGGATGTGAAGCCATGTTATCATTGTGAGTACCGCTAACATTACAGTGATGTGACTTGAATCCAAATTATCTAATAGGTAATCCGAACACGTTAATCTTTGATCCGATGTTGAACACTGATAAAATCCCATAAACATTTTTAATTTTCAACGTGTCGGTTTGACATTATTTTTTTTTTTTTTTAAGGTCACCTAAAATGTATCTGTCTCTCTCTCCCTCTCCACATATTTCTTTATGTTCACACCTGTCTATCGTTCTCGGTCTATCTTAATAGTATTCCTGTGCAAGAATGATAAACTCCTCGAGGAAACCTTAAGGTTCTATTTTAGCATAAACGGGATTGTGTGCAATAGAGTGATGTCAACCATATTAAGTACTTTTAGCAGTATATTTTCTTATGACTTATAAAATATATAATTTATCAATAGAAACTTTTTTCCCGACTTAACAATTTAATTTAACCGAACGTTTGAATCGCTATAATAAAATTAACTATCATATGAATTCGACTCTTTTAAACGATCCATCTATAGCCACATGGCAAATTTATTAAAAAAAGTAATTTTCAACAAAATTGTGACAGTATTGTGGAACACCGTGTCCTTAAACACTGTGCTTGCTCATTTCTTTTAACGTTAACTGGTTATTTCCTTATTTAAAAATATGCGCTTACTCCCGAGAAGTCATTGAGAAGGTTAAGGATTTTTTTTTTTTTATTGGTATTACAATTCTGTGTGTGTGTGTTTTTTTTTACCACCGGTATTCGCTCCATGCCTTAAGTCTGCGGTTTATCCGTATGTTATTACATTATGCGGGCGATTTTCTTTAAACCGAGGACACGCATAACTTTTTTAATGTTACAAATTATCATAAATAGCCAGAATTACACAATACAGCAGCTATATTGTGGCGGACTCTGTAGAGTCGGAGGGCGGAACTCTGTAGACTCTGGATACTCGGTTTCTGCGCGGTACCGTTCTCTCGTGAGACAGAGTATGTAATGGCTTATACAATCGGTACGCGTACCTCTGACAATGGGTTTTCGGGGGCACAACCGACAGCCGAGATACACGCAGTACATAATATATTATTATTTTATAAAAAATATTGAGGTTTATTTGATACCATATTGTATTATTATACTTGTATTGCTATCGCGGATACCGTTAACCGACTCTCCGCCTACACTCTGACCGGCCAATCGGGGGCAAAACACATGCTCTAGCATGTAATATATATTGCGTGACAGGTCGAATACACACACTTATTTGTCCTGGCACCTCTTGTGTGTGGACTGCCGGCACGTCCGGGTCGCGTGCGGCTTCCCTGTGCGATGTTAGTTTTAAAAAAATATATAATGTTTTTTTCCTTCATAAATATTTTAACTAGATTTAGAACGATCCGCGAAGGATAAGGTGTGTCTAAATTAATGGCAAAAGAAAAGAGCGAAATTACATTGTAAAATATATTTTTACTAATCGATGGTGATTATGAGCATAAGTTAGAAATCAGCCTTTTTATAAGGATAGTGTTTGTTGCACAATTTAACATGATATTTTACTCTGTAGCACTTTTCCAAAAGTTACATTTCGACGGTTATTCAATAAATTTTATACCTACAACTAAGTCCGGATAAAACAGTAGTGATATTTAAGGTAAAAAAAAAACATACATTTTTACTTTTTTGCAACAGAAATTAACTATTGAATCTGATTCATATTTAAATACAGCCTAATACAAGCCTTCGTGGAAAACTTTCTAAGGACACAATAGAAGAACAAAACAATTACAAACTTTTGGCATCTCATAATAAATTATTGTGTAACACATAAATATTAACAATCATTTACCATGTATTTTAATCATTTAAGTTATCCTTACATAATTTGGCTGTCCAAGTGCTTTTTTGTGTGTATTACACATTATATTTTAACGATTAACATAATTGTGAAAATGTGTGTAGCTTCGTTTAAATCTAAACTATTTGTTATTTTTTTTTTTAAAACAAGCACAGTGAACTGACATTGTTCTATTTGTATATTATAACATAGCTCGTGTGTGCGAGATTTGATTTGGACGATTACCATCATCTAACTCGAATCCCCTCTTTATTTTATTTCAATAATTTTATGAATAAATCCTTATAGTCACCAGAATGATTTCCGTGGTAGAAAAAAGTATGTATTTTTATTAAAAATCACTGTCGATTGAACTAAATTATGTGGTCGTTTGCGTTTTGTTAGGGTACAGTAAATTAAAATAACACAAAACGGCCCTTTATGTGCGTTTAAAAGAATTTAGGTAGGCAGTAAACCGGCTTATATATATATATATATATACATTTTAATAATAATAATACAAAAATTGTTACTCGGAAGGCAAATCTAGTTGTGTTCAAAAATTTTTGTCGCTTATCTATAAGACTTGTTTAAATACTTTGGCAGATTTTTTTACTATAGTAATTTTAACTCTTTTTATGGGGCATTTTTTTAAAAAGATTATTAGGTCAACCAGTTCCGGGTCCTAACGATGACCGATGAATTTTTTTTCAATTTTTTTAACTGTAAAATTACTTTTGCAATTAATAATTATTAAAGCGATGACATTGTGTTTTTCAAGTCCGACTAGATCATTAAAACTTATGAACCAACATAGAAAGAAATAATAACAATTATTATATAAATATATATAAGCTATTTAATTATACATAATATGCAGGTTTTGGTATTTGTGTTTTATTTTAATCAATAATTTTATTCACTATTCTAGTTGAACCGTTTTATGTAATTGCTTTTTTAAATTGGTCGTCAGGAAGTTCACACAGAACCTGACCTAACGTTACAGTTAAAAGTTACATCAAAAAGTAGGTAATTTATAGATAGTAGAAGATAGTGGTTTTCTTACACTGATTTTATATCTTATATTAATAAATGATTATAAATGATTCGTTTTTAATCGCCATTAGTCAATAGACCTTTTATTGACCCAACAAGACGCACGACTGGCATTATAATGTTTTGATATGAAAGCGATAAGAATATGGCGATTGATAAGGAGCAATCAGCTGATAAGAGATATGATAACAACGGTGATAACGTCTAACGTTTATAACTAAAAATAATTCAGGCTTCGACGGTTGGTTTTTTTTTACTTTAACAGTACTTACCAAAATTTTACTCGATAGGTATTTTTTTTTTTTTAATTTAATATATACATTTTTTCCATCGTCTAGACGGTCGTCTCGGTCTAAGATACGACCAAAGTCCAGACGATAATTTTCAACAGCGTCGTTCGGTTTTTGTAATAAAAAAAAAATTAAAAAATGTTTCAACAGTAGCAGCAGCTCGGTTGTGCCGGGCAAAAATAATAGTAGCTGATATTATGTCGATGCAAATTTTCGTTTGCCTTTTTACGCAACTCTGCCGATACGGTGCATTTTTTTTTTCTCTTGCTGCTAGCCCATTCCCTGTACCACCGTATACATTGCGTTAAGTAATTATGTGTTTATGTATTATATATTATTAGTTTTTTTCGTAAGTTTACGGTCTGTTGCCCAACGGCTAGCACGAGCTAGGCCGTCGCTGCCGCCAATTTCTGTATCAATCGTGCGACGCATAATAATAATAAAAAAAAAACCGCCACACGGTAGCTGTTGGTCATTCATTCATTAATCTAATAACCCGATTAAGTCTTTTTATTATTTCATTATCCAGTAAAAAGCACCACGAAACACAATAAAAAAAAACTCCCTACCATTTGTAAATATATTACAAATTACAAGCACACGCCTGCCTGTTACGCGGGTCGGTGTGGACATAGATAATAATTATTGATAAACGCTACTTCACTGCAACGCGTTGTCCAACTGGCGGGTAATATTATAAATTAGGGGAAA